ACACACACACACACACACACACGCACACACACACACAGTGGCATTTTTTCCATGAGTATATGTATCTGCTACACACTTCTTAAATCTGCTGATTTTTCTATTCAAAGCTGAATGTGATTGAGAGAGAAGATCAGAGGAAGAGTAAAAGCAATGGGAGAAACAACCATTTAAAAATTTTAAAGTATCTTCCCTTGCTTTGTTAGTATTACAAGTAGATTTGCACTGTACGAAAACTCTCTGAGGGGCCCTTTACAACTATGGTGTTGGGCTGGCCAGGGTGACCTGTCTCCATAGTGTAGTTCTGGTTACACAGGAGCCTGAAGCTGGTAGCAGTTTTATCCTAGGAGACCAGCATAGGAAACATACCCATGTCTCAAAACAACAGCCAAAACAAAGTACGGTGTTGAGATATTTTATAAAGTAAGTACATCTTCATAAATTAGAATTAGCCAAAGAAAAGTGCTTTGGGGACACAGCATAAATCATTTAGTGTTGCTCTTTATTACAAACAGTAATTTCTTTTCAGGGATGTGTTTGGCCAAATGGGAAAGTGATTATAACACAAAAGCCACAAACTACAACCCTGGAGATGAAAGCACTGATTATGGGATATTCCAGATCAACAGTCGATACTGGTGTAACAACGGCAGAACCCCAAGAGCAGTCAATGCCTGCGGTATATCCTGCAGCGGTAAGACAAGAAACTATAGAAGTGGCAGCCAGGACCTGGCTGGTTACAGAGAATACTGTCAATGGCGCTGACACACCCTTGAAAGATTCATCCATTACCTAGAGAAACTCCATCCCAACCACAAGAAAGTGGCTTCAGGGGGCCTTCCCATTAGCTCAGGTGTTTAAGTCCCTGTTGAAACAAGAAAGTAGCTTCTAGCCCCTTAAAATTTCCTAAGTGAGAAACTTCTACTGCAGTACAAGAGTACAGGACCAGTTTAACATAGGCAAGGTCTCAGGGTTCCACCCTCAGCATGACAAAAACAAAAATTAAAAATAAATAAAGATAAAGAGCTGGAGGGCTGGGAACATAGCTCAGCGGTCTAAGTGCTTGCATGACACACACAAGGATCGTAGTTGGATCCCTGGTACCGCATGCTGTGCTGACCCCATGCCGCACTGGCCACGGAAACCGGGTGTGGTGGTGCACACCTGTAATCCCAGCCCTGGGGAGACTGAGACAGGAGAAAAAGTCCAAGCTACGTAGCAAGACCTATACCAAATAAATAAGTCTTAAAAAAAATAAAAATAATAATAATGAAGAGCTGATATCATAAATGCTGGTGTTTTAAAATATTCAAATATTTCTGACATTATTTATTAATTTATTATATAAAGGCCTCTTGAGAATGTGTCTAGAACAGTACAATATCTCCTCTTTTCATAGGGGTAGAAAATTTGGTTGTACGGCCTTTTTTTTAATGAGCAGAATATATTTATTGAGGGAAAGAAAGCTCCTGTCTAAGAGAAGGACAGGAGAGGGGCTGGAGTGGGTGTCTCCAAAAGTAAAAATAGGGTTTTTTTGGCTTTGTTTTATTTTTTTGCAGAGACAGGGATTGAACTCAGGTCCTTGTGCTTGCCAGGCAAGCGCTTATTCAACTGAACTATCTCCCCGGCCTTTATTGTCTTTTATTGATTGTTTTTTCTTGTATTATGAAGTGCTGTCAATTGAAAATTAGATGTCGGTAGATGCCTGGGTGCTTTTAGCAATAATTACATGTAATAATTTAACAGTATATATTTGTCAGAAGGTTTTAATGTGCATTAATAACTATGTGATATTTTATTTGTAAATGCATTTGGTTGTATCTCTAAAACATTACTTTCCAGATGAACATATTCACACTTAAAAATTAATTTATGGTTTTATTCATTTGCAATGATACTCATTTTACTTTATTTTTTATACTCATTTTATTTTACAACAAAGGTACACACAGAATTTATTACATGCCAAAGACATGTATATTAGAATAGAAATTACATGTGGACTCTTTAGCATATAAAATAGTTTATGAATATTGCAAATTTGATATTGTTAAATTTTGGATGTTAATATTCCCAAGGGACAAGAACAATTTTGGAATTTTTTTTAGTCTAGTTAATTTACTTTTCAATATTTTTTCTCTATTATATAACATTATTATGGAATAAAAATTATGAAGATGCAAGCCAGAGAAAACAGAAACCAAAATCATACTATGCAGAGATTTACATCCACTGGTAACTTTTGGTATATATTCTGACAGCATATGTGTCAACCATGTTTATAGAAATGAAATTATATCATGCCCATACAAACTCATATACAAATAAGTAAGCAATGCATGTTTGTTAAAAATTTAAATCTTGTTATATATACTGTTTTATAGTTCATCAATCACAAAAAATTATCACCAAGAACTAATCTGTATTCTCCATAAAGAGGTAAATAAAACTCTCCCATACAAATACTATATTATTTTTGATCCAGCTATGCTAATGAACATTTAGTTTGTTTCCATTTTCCCTTCTTACAAATTGCTAAGAACAGCATTGTGTATTCTGCTTAAGTACATTTTTTATTATTTCTTTAGGACAAATTATTGCTACTAGAATTGCTGAGGAAAACTTTAGGTACTTTCATTCCAGTATTGTATGCAAAGAGGTCTTTTTGTTATATTACTAATTCTATAGCATTGCTGGGTGAGGTGGCACAAGTCTGTAATCCCAGCACTCTGCATGCTGAGACATGAGGGCTGCTGCAAGTTCGAGGCCAGCCTGGGCTACATATGAGTTCAAGGCCAGCCTGAACCACATAGCAAGCCTCTGTCTTTAAAAAATAGTAATAACAGCTGGGTGGGGTGGTGCATGCCTGTAATCCCAGAACTTGGGAGGCTAAGGCAAGAAAATTGTTGAGAGTTCAAGACCAGCCTGGTCTACAAAGTGAGCTCAAAGACCGCCTGAACTGCATAGCAAGGCTCTCTCAAAAAGACAAAAATAATAACTAATAATAATAATAAATAATTCTATAGCAATCATGTATATAGAAGTAAGGTTATATCATGGCCTTATGGGCCTACAAATATGTAACCACTGGGACAGGGATATAGCTCAGCATTACAAGCATCTGCCTGACAAGCACAAGATCTGGAGTTCAATCTCTAGTACTACAAAAAAAAAAAAAAAAAAGTAATTTGTGTTTTAACAAAAATTAAGTTTTATTGCATATACTCCCTTCCTGCTCCCTTATCACACGGTTATTTCATGTTAGCAAATACAAATGTGTAATAGTTCTTAGAGAGGGTGGATAGATTTACTATGTGAGAACTATAATTTATTGATCCAACTGTAACTATTAAGCCCTTCATTTGTTTCCATTTTACCTTTCATAAATTGCAATGAACAGCTTTGTGCATACGTACTTGTGTGAATTTCTTATTGTTTAGTTAGCATAAATTATCAGTAGAACTGGATAAAATGTAAGTAGCAATGTGGTTTTTTACAGTTTGGAGAACAATAAGGACATTTGGTCATATTAGCTAGTAATTTCCAGGGCTTTGTATGAGATTAATACATGCAAACAAAATGCTTTATTTCATGTCAAATATGATAGATGAAAACTTTATTTTTTTAACTCAGTTGGCTTAATCTAACTGACAGTGGAGTTCCGATGAGTGTCATTGTCACTCCTCAACCTCTCTCTTTCAGCTTTGTTGCAAGACAACATCGCTGAGGCGGTGACTTGTGCCAAGAGAGTTGTCAGGGACCCACAAGGCATCAGAGCATGGTACGTGCCAAGAATTAACTGGGAAAACGTTTGTGTCCCCCACCCCCATGATATAAGCAATGAGAGAAGACTTTCAATCCTTTTGACCTGTTGCCCATGTGTTTCACTCTTCTCTACAGGATGGCATGGAGAAGTCATTGTCAAAATCAAGATGTTGCTAAGTATGTTCAAGGCTGTGGAGTGTAACAGCAGGATTTTCCTTCTGCAGCTCAATTTGCTTCTCTTACAAATGAAGGGAGAACTAGCTCAGTGAAAGATCACAGTCACTTTGTTTCCCCTACGAATGACATTCACAGAGGCAGAACAAATTATTTTCCTTTTCTTGAAAGCCTTAGGTTCACTGATGTGTTCATCACTTGCTATTAATCCTACATTTTGCAACAGCTGATAGAACTATTGAGATGAAATTTGCTGAAACTTTGATTCTCAAAGATATCTCCAGTACATGCAGTTCTTTAGCAATAAAATAATCCAGAGTTAACCTTAAACGGTACCACTATTTGCCAACAGTAGATTCTAAAAACAGCAAAATATCATCTTAAAGCAAACTGTTCTTGGTGAAAACCTCAACAGTGTAGGCATCTCATACCTTCCCCTCTTTAACCATTTCATAAAACAGCTTAACAGCTCCTCAGTGAGCAACATGATTTTTTTAAGGAGCAGAATGCCAAACAGCTAAAAACAGACTGAATAAAGAATTTGGATTTCATAATGGGTGTGACCTGTGGTTCAAAAATTTCCTGAGAAATGCTGCATTTGTGCACTTTAAAAATACAATTTATGCAGCAACTTACTTTACCTTGAAAGAACATTTAGATGGATTTGCAATGAACAGCTTTGTGCATACGTACTTGTGTGCATTTCTTATTGTACACAAGTACGTATGCATTAAAGACAGATACATGAGCTGTTATTCTGCACCAACTAGGAAGCAGGCATGGCAACTAAATCTAAAGCAAATGAGCTTGCAGTCCTAATTAGCCAATCAAGTGAAACTACACATATTGTAAAAAAAAAAAAAAAACAAAAACAAAAACCCTATCATTAAAGGGTATGCAATACAAGCAGCACAAGTCTTGTCTGTCTGTGTTTAGAATTATCAAATATTTCAAAAGAACAAATATATGAAGAGAGTATTCAAACAAGACAAGGCACTCTTCT